CCAGGTCCCAGGGTGTAGTGCTATGTGTCTTGTCAGTAGAGTGTCTCCAAGGGAGTGAGCAGAGAGAGAGTGTGTCTTCCTCCTCCAAGGAGGAAATCCAGGAATTCCCAGAATTCCCAAGAGAAGACTATGCCCACACAGAGACCTCATTGGCTATGATCTGATTGACAGACTAGACTCCATTCCTTCACTCTTAATCATCTCAAGTCCCAAATTGACTCCGGATTATGTAACTACCACATATCTAAATATGATTGTAAGGGACATTACATTTACAAAATAAAATACACGGATTGAGCACTCTTTTGTAGTAAAGAGTGCTGGTGGCGTAGTGGCTTACGCGCTGGGCTCCTCAGAGGGAGGAAGATGAGGCTTTATACTCCAGTGAAAAGTTACAGTCTTGGGACTTGATAAGGGAGCTGTTCTTCCCTGTCCTGTAGGGTCGCTATAAGTTGGTTTTTGTAGTAGTTCGGATTAGGTTTAGCTGTATGAGTTATAAAACCCCCAAAGGAAAGTGGCTTAACCCCACACTTTAAAAAATTCTTGCTATGACATAAGTTCAAGATTGGCAATAAGGACCTTCAGGGTGGTTTATGAAGGCATCTCTGACCCCAGTGGGGTCTGGTCCTGATCTTTCAGGGAAATTTCTATGGAAGAGTGTGATAGTTAGGTTTTATGTAAACTTCCCTGGGCCAGGGTTGTCAGTGGTTTGGCTAAAACCTAGTAATCCCCCATGATGAGATCTAACATAAGGTCATCAATCTTCATAATGAGTTCTGTTATAAGCAGCCAATCAATTGGCATGGGAATGCAGCCTGTTTATAATATAAAAGGGGACTGTGGAGAAGCTCATTGGCTTTCTGTTGGGTCTGGATCTTGCATTGTGCTCATTGATCTTTGCTTCTTCACACTTGAGCCAACAGCTTGCTGATCTTGGGCTCAACTGTCTGCCATCTGATCTTCTGGCTTTGGGTCCATTTGCCTCTGTAGCTATAGGCCTGCGATCTTTCTACTGATCTTGGATTCATCAGTCCCCCAAAGCTATGCAAGTCAGGAGAGGACTCCGTTCTAACATTGGACCCATGGACTTGGATCTTGCTTGCTTCTACAACTGTGTGCACCATTTTCTTGATATACATTGTATATGTACATAGACGTGACCTTGTGGCATAGTGAACGACATATTAGGCCACTAACCACAAGGTGGGCAGCGTGAAACTGCCAGCCATTCCACAAGAGAAAGATGAGGATTTCTACTCCAGTAGAGTTACAATCTTGGAAAGCCACAGGGACAGTTCTTCCCTATCCTGTATGATCACTATGAGTTGGAATTGACTTGTTGGCAGTAAGTTTGATTTTTTGTTTATTGTTTCATATATGTATATGTATTGTTTCATATATATACACATATATGTGTATATATGTGTGTATATATAT